TTTTTGCTTTTCAACCTTTTAAATATTAGTAGAAATTTATTCTTTAAATATAATGAGATTTTTTATATCGCGCGGAGCGCGACAAGTTCACTAGTTATAACATAAAATATTTGTGGATGTTATAGTGAAGTTATGTTAGAGAATATATATTATAACATAACATAAAAATTGATTCCGAAAAAAGCTTGGCTTTTATAGTGAGGTGTTGTTATATAGGGATGCTGTTATAGAGAGGTCTGACTTATTGTTTTATGGTTTGACTTGGTAAAAATTACACGGGGCACCCTATTTGGTCGCCCCCATTTAACCTATACCCATTTTTTAAAAAAGTTTTAACTTGTACCCAATTTTTAAACAACTTTAGCCCCTTTCTCCTCCTCATTCTCCTACTTCGTTTTCTTTTTTCTTTTTCTATGGCTAAGCTTAATACTAATTGTCACACCTCCTTTTTACCTACACCCCGTAAGGGTGTATATAAGGGAGTTTTTCCAATTTAAGTGACAATTGAAACGAGATTTATTATTAAAAGATTCAGAGTCACCACTTGGGAGATTTATGGTGTCCCAAGTCACCGATTTAAAATCCCGAATCGAGGAAAGATTGACTCTGTATTACAGTCCGCGAACACAAAAATCCGGGTAAGGAATTCTGTTAACCCGGGAGAAGGTGTTAGGTATTCCCGAGTTCCGTGGTTCTAGCACGGTCGCTCAACTGTTATAATTGGCCTATTATCTGATTCTAATAGACTTTTAAACCTATGTGCATTTTAATTTTAAAACCGCTTTTAATTATTTTAAGGAAGATTTCAACGTCATCTGAAATACGTCTTTGGACCACGCCACATGAAATGCACCCGCAGTCCGAGACACATTTTATTTAACGTTGTTGGAAATTAAAACCGGATCACATGAAATGCACTCCCGAATTTGGAAATTAAGCATCGCAACTACGTCACGGGAACCGTAACCGTAGCCATGACAATCATTCAATTAACGCGCCTAAAGGCTTTTCTACGAATATTTATTATTTTTAAAAGAAAAATGCACTCGTGTCACGCGAGCGTGTACACAATTACGATAATGAATTAAATACGCCCAGGAATTCTAACATGTTCAAAATTACTTTTTTAAGTTACACATTCATTGGAAGGCTCGTTTGGATACAGAATTACATAAACATATACCTGATCTACATTCATACACAAATGTGAAAGTGATCTATTGATAAGTATTTTATAAGTGATGAACTTCTTTAATATTATACCATATAACTTCCCAACTCAGAGGAACATCACCAACATATCTATATACGATGGAGATCTAAAACGAACAAAAGTACAGCAAATAAGCTAAGCACTTCAATGGTCAAGAACAAGATTAGTACATAATTTTGCCAATAAGGATGGTGTCAAAATCGGAACAGAAGCAGTGCGTAGAAAATGAACAACAATAGTAAACTCCATAGTTAAGGAAAACCGCGTTCACATATGGCTGAACATGAAGCAACTCACTTTAACAAAACAGAGGCAGTAAACAATTAGCACAAATTGAAGTCATCAATGAGCAAATCATGAACATATGTTTCAACAATCCAAGGAAGCATCAGAGCATCGGAAAATGGTGGCAACATCATTATGACACCGAGAAACGGATCAACAATTACAACATTTCGAATCTAGATTCATACCTGATGCGCAACTAAAAATCGAAAAAAAACCGGAGCAAAAGCCAAACCGCCACCGAATCTCGAATGGAAACCTCAATGAGACTCAAGCTCTGACCGGAATTTTTGTGTTAGGTGTCGTTTTGGACTGAAAATTGTCGGAAAACACAAGCTGACGGGAATGTCGGATCTGTCACCGGCGAGACAGAAGCTAAAACCAAAGAAAATTATAAGAATAGCAGCTTTCTTTCTCTCTGTTTGTGAATGTGTATGTGCGTTTTTGTGCTGCTGGTTTCAGGGGTGAATAACGGGTTTGGGGTGAGGGATTTTTATGTATTTTGCCCATTAGTCCCTAGGTCTTTTGTGTATTAGGTCCTTAGGGTCTTTTTTGTTTGTTTTTGTTCCAAAGAAGAATCTAGAAGGGTCCCTAAGCTTAATGGATTAATCCAAATTGGGCCAAGAACTGGGCTCTAAAACTCTTAAAATTGTGATCCAACACTTTAATTGACTCCTTTTAAAATAAGATAAAAATACTACACAATCCAAAGCTAATCCTAATTAATTAAACTAAACATGAAGCTATTTTTGTGTTTTCGAAATTATATAAAGATAAAAATAAGGTACCATTTTTATATTTTTTTAAAAAAAAAATTATGAAAAATACATAAACTAAAATATTTTTTGTGATTTTTATTTTTCTTGTAATAAAATAAAGTAAAGGAGTAAAAATTAGTTGAAATAGCTATATTAGGCCTAAATTAAATGTTTTACGCTAAAAATGTGAAAAATCTTGGGGAGGGTCAAAAATCACATGTCTACACTAATTGGGTACAGAAATCAAGGGACCAATATTATCACCTTGGGGAAATTTCACATTTTATGAAAGGTATAAAGAATCCAAGCGACAAGACAAAGGTGACAACAGAAAAAAAAAGAAAACCATGAAACCCCAAGTTCGCAGCTTCCACAAGCCCAGAACAATAGAAAAAATTGGTGATTAATTACTGATTAATCTAGCAGGCATTGAAGATAATATTTTGTAATGAACTCAATTGAAATAAGGAAAATAAACGACAATAATGGAAATGGACTTGTTCTTCCTTTTATGTTTTCGTTAGAGATGTAAAAAATTATTGAGAATTGATAAAGTAAACATGGTCTTATGGATTCAACTTCAGCTTATATAGTGCTGAAGTTTTTACAAATGAACTAAATAACTTCGGCATCTTTTGCTGAAGTTTTTGAAAAAGCTTATTCATGACAAAAAAACTTCAGCACTAAATGCTTAAGTTCAGCAAATAGAGAACAAAACTTCAGCACTAGAATGCTTAAGTTCAGTAATTACAAACAAAAACAAGTTTATCAAATAGAGAACAAAACTTCAGCACTAGAATGCTTAAGTTCAGCAAATAGAGAACAAAACTTCAGCACCAAAATGCTTAAGCTCAGCACACTTGGTCTACTTCAGGCCGGCAACTAGAATGCTGAAGTTTTGCGTGATTGTCTTTGCTACTTCAGCCCCGTATACTGAAGTACCTCGAAAAAGTGAATACGCTTGTAATTTTTTATGCAAAGCGGGCACAAATTAAAACGTGACCCAAAAAGCAGGTATAGATGCAAATGACATTTGACTTGCGAGCAAAACTTGGGTTTGAAACATTAGAAAGCCAATGCCTTCGTTTTTGGTAGATTCTCTTGCTGCTATATATGGAATAGAGTTGCAATTACAAATTTGCTTTACTATCATGCGCACAAGGTGGGATCCACCTATTCGTGCGCCAACCTCCTTTTTTTTTTTTTTTTAAAAGAAAAATATACTCTCTCAGGCATAAAGTTGTTTTGGAATTTACAAAATGCGAGCAAGGCTTTCCAGTAACATGCGGAGACGACGTTAACTTCTTGGAGATTTATTGACATGTTAAAAAAAAAAGGATATTGGTCATCACGGTAACAAAAACCATATATTAATTAGTTAAGTATATAGGAAGCAGATTGAAAAGAAAGATTAATGGATTATTAGCTTTATTACATATTTATATAGGTTTTTTTTTAATATAAAAGGTTTTAAGTTTTTGGTTTTGAAATATAAAGTTTGTACCTACAATTGAGTTATATATATAGGAACTTTTAAAGTAACTAATAAATTTGTCCACGCTCCACGCGATTAAAAAAGATCTCATCAATTCATTAGAATATTAAAGATATTTTAACAATATTTTTTGTCTCGAAATATAAATAGATCAAATTTCAAATTTTAATTCACCTTTTTACTCACCTGAGTTTTATATAGATATTAGCTATGACTATGGAGATTGTTAGTATGTTTCTGAGCCTAAGCACGAGAATATTCAAGGGGCTTAAGCTCATTTTAATAATCATATGCAAAAGCAATGACATTAAAAGTCATACTCATCAACCTAATAACAATAATTTCCGTAAGAGGACACAAAATGTACAAATGACATGATTGCATAACTTGAAATGTTTTTAATTTTAAAATATCGATAAATACATCAAAATCATTAATCCACGAAAAAAAGGACAAAAATGAGACAATTTGATACCAAGCTAAGGAGTTGTTACTTATCACAAATAAATACACCCTTAGCATATTCAGTTCTCGTCAAATAGAAATATAATAAAGTAAAATAAAATTACTTCACTTTTCAATTCTATTTTTATATTTTGGATTGTCCAAAAAATATGGTCATTTTTTCTCTGCTTAGTTCCTACACTCTCTAGATATTTATTTTTAAAAAAGGTCCACCGACTTGATGCAGTTTCAAAAGTAAAATTATTCTTGTAAAAAATAAATAAAATGTCCATCTGTCTAAAAGGAGATTTATTTTCTACATAATTCAAATTATTTCTCAATACTCGACTACTTATGAGACCGACATTTCATGGAAGAAAGATTTATGACTTTCAAAACGTTACTTTTACTTGAAACTTTTCCAAGTATAATAAAATTTCAACTCTTACCTTAATATTATTCCCCAGATAAAATAAGAAGGCTTAATTGGGACATAGCAGTAAATTACATTGTTCATTAACTTTGGCATAAGGTATAACTAATTTATCACAACTATAATTAACAAACTTAGCTCGAAGTACAACAACAAGAACAATACGACATCCATATATCAAAATCGTCAAAATCTAACACAAACATGTAAAGTTCAATTGATTAAGAAAGTAATAAGACTATACATTTTCTTGATGTTCATCATTTTGTAATGGTTTCAAGTACTACTATTTAAATAAAGAAAAGTAATAAAATATTCTGACAAATGCTTCTCCAAACATACATATTTACAAAAAAAAAAGTTTGTGTCAACTGCAAAAAAGTAATAGGTAATTCTGAAAATAAACAAATGACATTTACATCAGACTAAAGAGGATGTACAATACAATTCAATATCTTTCTTAGACATATATATCTCATCTAATTAACTGGCCAGACAGTAACGTTATCTTCTACAAAAAAAAAACTCTACCATTTTCTTCCCTTTTTTGATCTTTCAAACTATAATTTTTTAAGAACAATTCATCATGTTGATCTAACCATTTGAGAAAACCACACCTCAGACCCTGCAATAAAACTCAAACAAATTCAAGAAAACTGATTAGAAAACTTTTCAGTTGGAGCAACAATAGAATTCAACAAAAGAACTAAGATATATAAAACTTTGTGAATAAAGATTTCTAAAACACCAACTAAACTAACATGTAATACCATTAAGCGCAAACATAATTAAGATTCCAGTTATCAATATTGCATAAAGCCTTTCATCTTTTATCAACTTGATGGACCTTACGATATGCAAATTCCACAATCAAACAAAATAGAAATTTGTTTTGAAGGAAGAAATTTGATGATACCTAGCGATTGTAAACTTGAGCAGGGACCAAAACTTGCCTGATTCAAAACCAAAAATACCATGACATGACTAAATCAACAGGTTAGGTATGCTTTTTGTTGATACTACTGCTCGAATTAGATCCAACTAATGAAATAGGGCAAGACTGAGAGAATTAAGTCATAAAACCTCATGACATTGGAAAGATAAATTTTGGTGAGAAAGATACTACTCCAAAAGGGAAAAAAGGAGTATTTATAACACATTTAATAAATGGGGGTTATGGATTCCAAAAGTCATAACCTAAAATGTAATTTATAACATATTAAACAATTGGGGGTTATGGACTTAAAAAGTCACGACCTTCAATGAAGAGGTGTGAGATATGGATGTGGATTTTAAAATAAGATAAATGGTTTGAAAAGGGGGGAAAATCAAAAAAAAAATGAGAAAAAAAATAAATAGGATTCCTACACTATGAGATATGCCACATCATCTTTTCATTTCCCACATAATATATATAGATTTAGTCTTTTAAGTTTAAAGTGTGCACCTGCAAAAAGACTTCTTTTTTCGAGATAAAATGATATGAGAAAGTAAAGGAGCAACCACAGTTGAATTTGAAATTAATGTACAGCCACAATTGAACTGAATAAGACAATACACCAGGAATTGTTTTTACTAATATAAGAAACCTAAAAATATCCAGTTAAAGGAAACAATTAATTTAAGCATCAATGCTTAATTATCCCTTAAATAGTTTGATCGTTATGATTGCTTACTGAATTGCCAGGCACCTAAAATGTCCTTGAAGAAGCACTTCAGTCTATTCTGCATAACACAGCAGAAGAAAGTCACAAACTCACATTGTAATCACAAATTAATTGACAAAGCAAATCATATTGAATAAATGTGGATTTAAGTTATATAGTACTCATTATAGAGATTAAAAAGTAATTACTTTATAAATGGTTTGGTCGTGTAATTTTTTTTACATCCATCAAATAAATTGACCTATAAGAATAAATAACTCTTTCAATCAAACCTGATTTGGTAACCTGATAAATAAAGCGAAGACCAATTAAAGTACATTGATAGTGTAGAAAATCTTTACGACAATATATAACACTCAAATCCTTATTATTAATATAGGGGATAAGAGCAAGACTCACACAAACATGAGTTGTCTTCCTTTTTGCTCCTCTAAGCTTTCTCCATTTTAGCCCATTTTGACAGCATGATTCTTCTCCATCACCGTAGCCTTGTGTTCCAATGTGCTCATGCCTCCATTCCTTATCTTTTCGACGGAACAAATGGGAAAATGACAATCTAATCCTTCTTGTCCATCTCCATTTCTGCACAAAATGTTAACTCCTATTAACAAGAGACCACCATATACACTCAAACCTTTCTATAACATTCATTCGTTATAACATTATTTCACTATATAATGGCCAAATTTATTTTGGAACCGATTTTCATGTTATCTTCTATAACATTATTTCGCTACAGCAACCAAAAAATGTATGAATAAACGACATTATCTTAGAGAGGTTTGATTGTATACCAACTAGACGAAATAAGCATTTCACTACAGGGGCGGGTTTATATGAAAATATATGGTGAAATTCAAAAATAGCCAAATTTACAAGTGGTAATTGAAAAATAGCCATTGTTTCAAAAGTAATCAAAATTTAGCCACTTTTTATGTAAAGATAAATCTAAATGAAAATACTGATCAAAATCCGAAAAATATTCCAGCATAATACACTGGAGTTCCAATATAATATACCGGTCCTACATAATATGCTGGAATTTCATACACAGGTGCTCCAATCTCCATTATATTATGCTGAAATTTTCTGTGTGTTGGAGTTCCAGCATATTATGCTGGAAGTTCATACCCAGGCGTACCAATCTCCATTATATTATGCTGGAATTTTTCGTGTTGCAGCTGTCCGAAAACTGGCTAGGCCGTGCTATTTTCACACAAATATATGGGGCACGTAAACTCATGTTCTCTCCACCAAACTGTTTTTTATATACATATTTTTTAAAATTGGTCTAATCTTATCTGCTGACACCTATGCTCCAAAAAGGCTAAATGATGCACTTGGTTGGATGCAGGGCCGGCTCCATAGTTATGCATAGTAAGGCTTGTGCCTTAGGCCCCCAAATTTGAGGGGCCTCATTTTTTAAAAATAATAGGTTTATAGGCATTAATAATATTTGGTACTTTTAATACAAAAGTAGAGTTTTTTAATATAAAAGAATGAAAAAAAAAACTCTTTAGATATATAAATAAAATAATAATTTGACTTACTTAAAAATACGTAAATGAATAAATTTCCCAACGTTTCAATTGTTTACTACTCCTTCATTATATAACGTATCAGAAATTTACTCTTAATTTGTCCCAATCAATCTTTATATTTCACAAACCTTTACATATTTTAGTTCTTTCTCTTTAATATTTTTACTCACCTTCTTTCTCCAAGATTTCATTACTCACCTTATTTCTCCAAGATTTGATTAATTCAAGTGTTCAACTACTTTTAAGCTTCCAATAGTTCTATACTTATATTGCTCTACAAAATCTTATCTAAGATCAACAATATCTCATGAAAGATTAAATGAGTTCGCTATACTATCAACTGAAAAGGAATTATTTGAGAAAATCGATTTATAAAAAAGATTATTAACAACTTTATATCATAAAAAGTTAGAAGAATAGACTTCAAATAAAAATATATATCTTATAACTTTCTTTTAAAATTTAGGTCTTATATTAAACTTTGGCTTTAGGCCCCGTATGTGCTTGAGTCGCCCCTGGTTGGATGCTAGGTTATTTACCTAGAGGAGCTGGGATCAAATCTCAGTTAATACTTTCTTTTTTCTCCTTTGGTTAATGGTGCACACATATTATAAAAATCCTAGATCCGCCTATGTTTCACTAGATCCAAGGGCACTGATTCAGCAGGAAGAGCGTCCGCAGAAAGCTCGATACTATTTTAGTGGAGAAGGGGAAAAAAGACATGCACATTATCCATTGAGGTTCAAATCGTTCACCAGATTGCCTCGAAGAGTTTTTCTTGTTTATTAGTTAAAAAAAAAAAAGTGGAAAGAAAGAAAAAGAAACAAGCATTTCAGTACTATTTAGATGCAATGCTATAAATATACACCTTGTGTTTTTGGTTTGATGAATTGTTAGACTTCCACGAGAGATGTTGATAATTGCCATGCCTTAATTCATGAGCATAATTCAGGAGTTGTGCTCGACGATCGTAACCTCTCTTTGTTGCAGTGCTTGGATGAGTTCTTTTCGAGGGATTAGATCTATGTTGTGAATCTTTACTTGATAAAGATTCAACATAAACACTGATTATAACTCCTCCTTCCCTTTTCATTATCAAATCAAAGTGACAGCTTATAATTCTATCAAAATTGGCATTTGGAATGATAATACAACATTTCACCAGTCACATATATATATACCATTGTGCTTGTAATGTGTAGTAGGCTGCTGTTCAGATAAAGAAACTAATTTTGCGAGGTTACAGGTATGTTTTTCGGGGTCTTTGGCCGATGAAAACTCAGAATTAGTTTGGAAACCAATTCCAATTTGGAAAATTTATACTCCCTCCGTTCCCATTTAGTTATTTAGAGCCAAACTACATCAACTTTGACCAATATTTTGATATGTATTTTTTTTAATCATATTAATATGAGAAGAGTCGGAAATTATAATACGTTTCGTATAGTTTTCGAATATCTAAACTTTAATTTAAAAATATTATAATCTCAAATTTAATTTCAAAAATTAATCAAGTTGACTATCAAAAAGCGAAACATGACAAGTAAATAGAAATGGAGGGAGTACATTCTCAAGGGAACAATCTAGCGGCCACATGCTATTTTGTTCTACCGACATATATTTTACGCTTTTACTTTGTGTTCCTAAAGAGATTTAGAAAAAACCATACCAACATATCTAAAAGCATAATGGTGCTGGTTGTTGTGGTAATATGAAAATTCTTTCGCACAAAAATGGGAAAGAGATAACTATTTGTTCCTCTAAAATTCTAAAGATATTCTACTTTTGGAATAAATTTATTACTAAATTATCGTAGAAATTAATTGTTTACCCTTAAAATGAGTCACAATTAAATTTGTACGCGGTTGAAAGAATATGTAATTTAATTTAATCACGAATAATCAATGAATATCAACTAATCCAATTAAAAGAAAATATAAGATCAAACAAAGTGTAACAAAGCAATTAAGCCTGCCGTCGGAATTGGATGCTAAACATGGCACCAATCGAGCCCTCAAAATGGAGCTCGGTTGTAACCGAATGAATGAACAACTTGAAAAACACTTGAACAATTGCTAAAAGACAAAAGTAAATTTTATTGTTTTGATATGCGTGCCAACAGTGATCCAAAAAATAAAAAGGTTCTACCCTTTATATAGCATGTGAATTTCAACCCTAGTACAAGTCTAAATAAGGTAAAAATCCTTTTTTTCCCCAAGAAACCATGATTCGTAGTTAATATCGGGCGTGATCTGTGCCACAATATCCAGCTGATGGCGGATATTTCAGCTCCTCGTTTGTCTTCTTTAACCGTCTTTCCTTAATCTCGATTTTTCGTTCCGCTCGAGCTTGATTCTTCCAATGTTTGGCCATGCTCGATTCCTGACGTATCATTTTTCCACCCCCGGCTCCGATCTGTGGGCACCGTCGGCCTTACCTGAGGTGTCGAATCACGTTATCCATCGTTTCTTCACCAGAAAATCAGAGGTAGATTTATCCCCGATTTTAACCATACGCAGTCCCCTCACTTCTCAGAGAGTAGATCTATAGGAATGATAAGAAATGACTAATTGACTCCGGTTCCTTCCTTTGTACATCATAAGCAAGTTGACGAGCTGAAACGTCCCATCAATCACGTCGCTCTGATTTTGGACACGCATCAGTTGTCGGTTGATCACCCTCTGCAGTTACCGAATGTGAAACGCCATGCATTCATTATTCCTTCTCTATAAAAGCTCAGGTTTCCTTTTTTTCACTTTTTTACTTTCTGATTTCGAACCTTCTTGAGTTACCCTCGAATTTTCTATTTGCTCATCAATACTTCATATCTTCATCTCTCGTCTTCAAACCTTCATACTTTACATTCAAAACTTCATAGCAAATCTTCAAGCCTTCATACCAACCTTCAAACCTTCATATTTCAAGATAGAGATAGCAAAGACTTCGAAATCGGTACCCCAAAATACTGCACCTCCAGCTTCTACCTCGGACACAGGCACCGAGGCAACACTTTCGGTAGTAGCCCCGGAACCTCCTCTTACATGATTCATCCCCAGAGACTTCTCCATAGATAACGACTTCAAGGTTGAAAAAGCCTCCGTACAAGGAGATCGAGGTGAAGATGAATGGAGGTATGTTTGCTCCATCACCGAGGAAACGCTTCAAGTGGTCCGAGAGGATTGCAAATGGGAAAGTAAAGACTTAGTCATTCCCAGTCCTGACGAGGATATCATGACGCATGTGGAAGGATACTTAAGCGTTTATGCGCATCCTTTCACGTTCAGTCTGGTGGATATAGTGATCCTCGATTTTTGTAAGAGGTATGAAATCTACCTCGGGTAGATTAACCCATCTTTTTGGAAGATCATGACCCTCCTCCGACATTTTGTTAATAATACGGAGGATCTTTGGTTCACGATTGATCATCTGCTCCGAGTCTACAGCACCCAGATCCTCCGATAGGGGTTAATCAAGATCGCTCACTGGGCAAAGAAAGCTCCCTTCTCCTACATAGACAAGGACATGGACCAAGGCTGGCAGGGAAAGTTTGTTCGGATAAAGACCGAGGATCTCATTCCCTCTGAGTTCTTGCCATTCCCCGAGAAGTGAAACTTAAAACGTAAGTTTACTTCCTCTTAAGTTGTCAAAGTAATTTTATTTTTGAATCTACTCTTCTTTATCATTATTTATTTTATTTGACATACATCCGTCGCCCGAGTCCCCAATGCGATCCCTCATTTTAGGGAGTGGGTCGAGGGCATATGTAAACAACTCACTTATCCTGAGCGTGAGTGGCGCAAGCTTTCCAAAGGAAAGTGGGAAGCTCGTTCTCATGGTTAGTCCCCCCTCCTTTTTTCTTGGCCATTTCATATTGTATCATTGTTATGACTAAGTATTTTCTCTTTACAAGTTTGCCTAAGACTACCAAACTTCGGGAAATCATCGAGGTCGCGGCCTCGACCCCGTCTACAAATCCCTCCGCTTCACTAAAGCCTACTGCCGAAGCTGCTACGAAAAAGGAGGAAAAATGAAGAAGAAGAATAAAAGGTCTCCTGACTTCGCGGACGCTCCTGCCGAGGCTAAGAAGAAGGAAAAGGATCGTGGTTAGGGTCCAATAGAGCACCAAGAAAGCTTCCCGTGCCCGGTTCCTAAATTCCGAAGATCTTCATCGGCTCAAGGACTTCCTCGAAGACAATGATGACATGGAATTCGTTGTTCATGAACTGATCGATGCCGTACAAGAACCGGCAACCTCGGATAGGGGTAATCGTACGGCTGAATCCTCCTTAGCTCAGGAGCTCGAGGAGGAACATGTGACCACTTCTTCTTAAGAAGCCCCTCTGGTACCGAGAACAATTATCCTCAAGGATGATGCCGTCATTCATATTCAAGAATTGCCGCCCCTGCTGGATGCCACTTTTAATGAGGCTTGAGCTTCTGAAGAAAAACCAACTGACACGTCCCAAGCAGTGATGAAGCTCTCAACTCAATTTGTGAGGGTGTGGACGTCGGCATGCTAGAGGACTAATCTGGATTTGGCTACCTGGAGATCTCGAAAAGGGTCATAGAACTGGGGTCACGTGAACCGAGTTCGAGTTCAAAGCTCGAGAAGCAGTTTCTCGCCCCGAATGTGGACCCTGATCGGAAGAAGACGGCTATGTTCACAGTACCGGCGAATGCTGGCATGCTATCCAGGCTAGTTGGAGTGGCCAGCTATCTCCGTTCCTTAGTAACTGAAGAGGACTAAGTGAAGATGAACGAGGTAGATGGGCCGAGTCTCTTCAACGAGGCTCAGCAGACACTAAATCGGGTATACCCTCCTCTCTTTCTACCTTAAATAGTTCTCTTTGCCTTAATAATATTTTAACAATTTCACTTTCTTTATGTCTCAGGCTTTAGTGCTTCACTATGAAAGCTTTCACCAGTTCAAGATAGAGGTGAGTCACTTAAAGTTCGAGCTCAAGGAGCAGGTCCAGCAAAAGGAGATGTACAAAGCTCTATGTGAGCTAAAGGATGAAGTTCTTAGGGACATGGTTGACTGCTCTGTTCTCCAAGCCGAGCTGGAGAAATCCCAAAAGAAGGCTTCGAAAGTGAAACAAGACCATGCCCTTCTTATTGAAAAGGTAAAAGTGCTCGAGATCGATATCAAGAGTTTAAATGCAAATTCTAACACTGCAACCTCGTAGGTCCAAGAGAAACTAACCTTGATTGACCAACTTAGGTCCGAGATGGACGAGGTCAAGGATTCAGTTGACGAACTGAGGGGGAAAATGGTCCTCCTAGAATCAGAGCGAGATGCCACCAAAGAGGACCTGGTATCGACCAAAGTGCAACTCCGAGTGATGAGAGAGAAGGCCGGCAAATGGTCTCAGCTAAACGAGGAGCTCTGGGCACATCTTGCCTTGGCTGTTGCAGAACGTGATACTCTCAGCCAAGAGTGCATGGCTCTAAAAGCTAGATTGGAAATGGCTTCGAATGAGGCCTTGGAAGCCTAGGACATGCTGGCCTAGTAAAAGAATGACGTAGAGGTAGACGAAGCCCGTGTTATAACGAAGGCCGAGTATATGAAGTGGCTATCTCAGAGAGAGACTCTCGAGGAGATCCAAGCCCAGGGGGCCTAGTGGTTGAGGTTACAGAGGCTAAGAAGCTCGAAGCCGACGCCAAAGTGAGGTACCGACGCGATGGTTCGAATAGTGAGTTGGGCTCTGATGACGACTAGGCAGGAAATGCCTTAGCTTATTTTTTTCTTTTCTTATAGTTACATGCTTTGTATTTTGGAGCCGTTTAATAGTGCCTCTGTAAACACCTTTTGGTAAATATATATGAAATTTTCCCTTCGCCTACATGTTGTGTCTACTTTTTTGTATTTGCTTATGTTTAAGACTTAGGATATAAAACTCATATCTCAGACTTTATAATATGCCATCGACACCTTAGAATAGAATTTGACATCGCTTAAGTTGTTCAATTTTCCAATACCCGGGTGAAGCTTGGGTTAATTAATGTCTCCGAGTTGCTTTGACATCGAAGGACCCGATAAAAAACAAAGTCTTTTCTAAAATATTTGAATGATTTATCCGGACACAACTAATCTTTGCCGAAGGTGGCTCCTTTCATGGCCATA